AGCTTGCCATCAAAGTGACTTTCATCACTGTCACGGTGACTCGTCGATTTCTGCTAGTCACTATGCACCATGCATATTGACTTAGTTGTATAGAAAGCGGTCGCTTGCGTTGATTTGAATGAGATGTTTGTTTATATCCCAATAAAAAGCCAATCAGAAAAAATATCGAATTTTGCATTCATATTCCAAATAAAAATTTACCCCATCCCCTTCCCGCCAGCTTCAGCAACACAAATGCGAAAACACACGTTTTGGTCTGGTATATTAAAAAGGAATTCAGAGGTCCAAGAAAATTGCTAATACTACTGAAGGGCCATAATTTTGGCAAAACGCCTTCGAAGTGATTAGATGGCTGTACCGGTGAGATAAAACAGATGAACCCAACCAATTAAGTGTCACTAACAATTTACCCCAAACATTCAAAAAGTTTCTAAAAGATTCTTACTATCTCTAAATAGCCCCAAAACATTTCCTCCAAGTGTCATAGGAATTAACATTTCTTCATTTCACTGTAAAACACTTAAAGATCATCCTTGAACTGCTGCCGTAGGCATTGCTCAACTTGTTTTGTGAGCTGTTTTGAGTTATGCATCTTGACGATGGATACAGCGGTGGTACGGCCGTGGTGCACTGATTATGTAATTTGCTTTGCGCTTTAGAGATATCGGGTTCAAACCCAACCGACGATTTAGCTTTTATCGTATTAACCGTAGTTTTTCTTGAACAAAGAATTCATCCGACCGACCTAGTGCAACCAGCCGAAAAGCGGTAGCAGGACACTGACCTACAAATAATGAAGACAGCATGGCACTTTGCTTTGGTCATGCCAGAGCCTGCGAGACATGCGGCCGCGCTGTCTGATGTATGCACCTTTCGGCTACGATTCGCCTCGACGACCCACCTGATAGCTGACTAAAAGCACTACAGGGTATAAAGGCAAATTTAAATTTAAAATTCGTTCCTCTGATCCTTCGGGTAAACTTTATATAAGATGTACATGCTGTAGATTACCTTTTTGTAGAGTGCTGCAACGTGGAATGTTCTTATGCAGATCAGGCGTGGAGAAAATACTAATTATTAAGGCACACGTTATCGTTCATTTCATCATCTGAAATCATAAGAATCATTCTAGTCACCGGAAAACAGGCTGCGGAAGAAGGTCAAGGTCTAGTAATGATGTTTAGACTCCGTTGGAAAATCCAGCAATCTGTGGAGGTGTAGAAATGATTTTCCCAGGCTTTCTTCAGAGATTAATTTAGGCATTATCCCGCACTTTTATTTCTATGTCTAATCAGTGTTCTTTTATAAACGGATGAGCTTTAGAGAGGTAATGAGATTATGTTTCTTCTGAATATTCCGTCGCCTCATTAAGTAATGATAGGATAATTAATCAGTTGCTAATTAATATTAAACTTGCTACGATGACATTCTTTTGTGATGTTTAAGAAGAAATTCGCAGAATCTAAGGAAGCACGGAGCAGATACCTTTTTCTTGGGGTCTTATGTTAGGCTTCTTGCTTTATATAATGCTTGATCATTATCCAGGCATAATCGGTTTGGACCCAGCATGTTTAATTAAAGGCTTGGTGTTGCTAAGGTCTTTTGAACTCTAGAAAAGCAAATAGGTAACGGTTGCAAAAACCAACATAGTCTCCAATGAAGACCCAGCCATTGTGCCCTTCTGGCCTGTTTGACGATCATTTTTCTCGCGTCATGAAGGCATTCCATCTTGGAGCTCTATTATGTAGTTTTTCATTTTAAGATGAATTGAGAAGTCTGAAAACCAGATAGTATTCTTACTGACAGTAACAGCAGTAAAGTACTGCAGTATATAAGTACTACGGTATGGTATTCAAGTACTGTGGTAGTCAAATTGACCGGTTTACATAGCATCCTCACAAAATACTTAGTACTCAAATATCTTCGCCAATTCTATGGAAGGAAGCAATACGATCGAATTTGATTATATAAAGCGGAGTGATCTACCGAATGATAAAAAGATACCGCCTTTATTGAGCGTTATGTCATAGTTCTTCTTCAGTGTGACATGGTTGGTTGTGCAGGTTAAGGCTGTCGGCCGCAGTGGGGTTGCCTGCAGCAGCTGATCATGTGGAAACAGCGGCTCCTGTCACCAGAAAACTATTAGAGCGGAAGCACGACGCCAAAGTTCTGCTCTGTTCTGACTCCACCTGGTCAGTTATTGCATCATGTGCATCGTCGCCTACAGCCTGCCAACCAGCTACTTTGCCTTGACGAAGATCCTTGAGATACGGGGCGGAAACGTCTCGGTATCAGTTGTTTTTTGTTCTGTTTCTTGATATGTGCCTAACAACGCACAAATTAACACGCAGTTCATCCATGCGCATAACTTGTCATTGATTAGTAACGAAAGCGAAAATTTACATGTTTATGATTCGTGTTCATCGCTGGTAGTCGTCATCGTCGTCGTCAGCATCATCTTCATTAACGTAGAATAAGGTGCAGCGCAAAATTACTGCTATTCTTTGCTACGATGACTGTTGTTGTTATACGCTCAC